AAACGGAGGTAAAAAAAAAAAAACGGTAACCTGGTTGCCGAGCTCACGAAGTGAATTGGCTTGTTTTACAACGTCGCTGCCAAGCGACGAAAACCCAATCCCGATGGCAAACACCGGGGGGGGCGGCTTGTTTTACAACGTCGTTCCCAAGCGACGAAAACCCAACCCCGACGGCAAACACCTGGGGGGGCGGCAGGTTTTACAACGTCGTTGCCAAGCGACGAAAACCCAACCCCGATGGTAAAACACCGGGGGTGGCAGGGGCTGGGCCAAAGCGTGCTGAACCGTCCTGGTCGTTCTGTCGCGCCTGCCTGTGCATATAGACGCGATCAGGATGAACACGGACAACGAAAATCATATCGAGAGTATTATCGTCGTTTCTTGGCCGGGAACGTCTCGCTTAAATCGAAAACAGGTGTTTCAGTGCCAATAGGCCAGGGATGCGAAGAGAGAACAGTTTGGGACACAGGAGCAATTATCTACGAAGCGAAATTCTCCGAGAAGGGGAGCGAATAGATGTCAGTGGGGACGATGCTTGCGAATTGTGTTGGCGACCTTCCGACACATGCAACAACAACCAATGCACCAAGAGCAAGATGCTGGATCAGGAGAGGACAGCTGTCCCGCGGGGCAAGTTTTGTAACTCACACACCCGTCGCCCGTGGAGGGGGTTATTGTCCATGTACATCAAGCGAAGCGCGCACAGATTTCGAGATAATGCGAGCAAACGCCTTTCGGTACTTTCGGGAATTCCGTGCACATGTGCGTGCATCACTGGCCTCTGATATTCACACATGTTCGCGAGGTGAAGCTTGACTAGTTCAAGAGTTTTTTCTGTGGCGCGCCGACGATGGTCATTGTATCGTGCGTGACACTCAAGTCTGACATTGACGTCTACCTCAGCCATGCTGATGCTGTTTTCCCCCGGAATATTGTTCACCTTGATACTGAGGACCTCACTCTCCTAGGAGAGCCAAAATGATTCAGCGCGGTTTGCATAGAATCAATCGCGATTTGCTATGCGTCAAGCGTCAACCCGGCAGGAGGGACGAAAAAGTGTGGAAACAACGTAAATTCACAGCAGCAGTGGTGTTAGAAGGGGTTGTGCGTTGTCCCAAGAGTATTCCCTCAACTCCATGATAACAAGCAAAGAACACCCAAAGTTTTTCTCGACGACCTTCGCTCCGCCTCGAAACTCAACACGCGGTGACTCTCCAGTTCGTGGTGGTCTGTCCATTTTCTTGGAGGATAAAAATTTTGACACGTGAAACTACTTACTCCGAATTCCTCAGAGAGAAAGACGTGAGGTGTCTGCAATTTTCGTATCGTAGAACCTACCTCTCCTCCTGAAGGTGGTCTCCACAAAGCGATTCGTCTTGAGAGACGTCCCACAACAGTATAACGCTCGGGTTGATGACACAAAGACCCAGTTCTTGAGTGTAATAGAAGTACCCACCTCTGTGCCAAGGACTTTCGCGAGGAATGTTCGGGCATAAGCCGGTCACCGTGGCGAGTACGGTCCCGGCCATCGCTACCCGAACAAGCCCATGTTGGTAGCCACGCCGAACAGGAGACATTCAGAGGCCCAAACGTCGTCCAAAGGGTCGGTCGAATACCGTGCCGTAATCGTCGCTGTCACGATACTTGCAACAGCAAAAACAACCCAAGTGACCTGAAAATATGCATCGCCGCGTCGTCGTCAGCGCAACATCGCAGGCGGTGATTTTGAAGCGGAGAAAGGTTGGCTTTTGAACCACGGAAGAATTGCACATCCCCCAAACTCGATGATAACAAACCAAACAAACATGCGCTAAAAAAAAAACGCCAAAGCGATACACGACGACCTCGTCGCTCCCCTCTCGGAATTCAGGAAGCGGTGAATTTCCACCCCATGGAATAAATTTGTCCGTTTTCTTCGAGGAACTATTCGGTTGATGTCGTCCATTATTGCGACGGTACCAGGTATGTATTCGGTACGTGTGTGATCACCCGAGAGAAAGGCACAAATCTAGGTGTCTTCGATTTTCGTATTGACCCAACCTACGCCTACTTCGCCTCGAAGTGGTCTCCATGAAGTGTTTTGTCCCGACAACATCCTGTATGGAACAACCCTCGGGTTGGTCCTACAAAGACCCGGTTCGTCAGCGGATGTACATGGACATTTCACCCACCTCCGTGCCAGTGATTTTTCGGAGGAATCTTCGGGCAAAATGACAGCCGAGCACACTCCCCGCCATCGTGATGCCCTTCCAAGGGTCGGCCCAACACTTGGCCGTTACCGCTGCTGTCGCGCCGCTTGCAAACTATAGTCTAATGTTCCAGGAGACCTGGAACATGCATCGTCGCGCGGTTGGAGAAACATCGCCGGCGTAATCATAGAAGTTCGAACAAACTTGGCAATTGGACTACGGCATACACCTTCCCTCCAACGCGACGACGACAAAGCAGCGACGCTGATTGGGTGAATACAGCCATCTAAGCAATACTCGACTACAGTACCTTGGCTCCCCCTCGAAACTCGAAACCCGGTGACCTTCTCCTCCGTTGTAGCCTGCCCATGGCTTCTTCGAGAAACTGTTCGGGACGTGCTGCGCTACCGTGACCACCCCAGAGAAGAAGACGTTCGGTGTCTGCAATTTTCGTACTGAAAATGGCCTAAGCCTTCTAGAGGTGGTCTCGATCAAGCGTTTTTTGTCTTCAAAACATCCTGTATCGAACAGTGCCCGGGTTGATCCTACAAAGACCCAGTTCGTCGAGGAAAATATCTTTTACCCACCCCCGGCCAGTGATTTCCCCGAGGAACGTTCGTCGGTCATAATGACAACCGAGCGCGCTCCCGGCCATCGTTGTGCCGTTCCAAGGATCGGCCCAACATGGCCGTCACGGCTGCTGTCGCGCCGCTTGCAACGACAATATTTTTCCAAGGGACCTGAATATCCATCATCGCGGGATTGGAAAAACGTCGCAGGTGTGGTGATTCTGAATTCGAGAAACGGTAGCATTTGAACCACGTCGTCGTTAGCGCTGCACATCACCTAACGATATTAGAACAACAGTGATTACATGTAGTTGCGTGAAGAACAGACTCAAAGCAAGGACTGTTGTACTCTTCTTTGAGGAACAACTGTAAATGGTACGGTCGAGCTACACTTTGAACACCCCAGCGAGAAAGACGTCAGGTGTCAGTAACTTTCGGACTGAAAAAAACTACGGCCGTCTCGTGGAGGTCTCCTCCGCAAAGCGTTTCGTCTCCGAAAAATCCTACAACGCCGCTCGGGTCGATCCAAAAATAGTTCCGGTTCGTCAGCTTGTGTCCTTTATCTTTTACCCACCTCCGCCGTGCCAGTGATTACCGTCAGGAACCTGTGGGCATGTTGTCGAAGGGCACGACCACTGATGATCACCACGGCGAACACGGTCGGTCCCGGCCACTGCGCCAAAACAGGACGCGACCAGAGGCCCGCACCTCCTCGCAAGAGAACGCTCGACGCGCACAAGGCCTTCGCCGATCGTTGCTTTCACGCTGCTTGCAACAGATAGAATGGCCAAGGCGACCTGAACGTGCCCGCCCATCATCGTCCCGTCGTTGGAAAAGCCATGGCAGGCGTACTGTAGACTGGTGATTTTGAGTTCGAATGTATGTATATGGTCTGCAGTTTTGAGCCACGAATACTGATGTTGTTGTTGTCTTCACATAAAAACCGTTCCGATCTCTCTCTACCCAGTACCTTCGCATGTCCGTACTGATCCACCACTCGACGCGGTCGATTCCCGTGGTCGCAGGCTAACTTACCCTTAAAAGGTACACTCAAATAAAATGCCCCCAAGGGGTCCGCAAGTCAATAGAAATCAACGACAGATATTCTGGAGTCCTCCACTCCCTCTGCGCGCTATGCGAGGTAACAACTGAGACTAGGGGTCACCATCACGGGCCGGAGAGAATGAGGTATACCCCCTTGGTTCAATCTTGGTACTTCACAACGCAAGCAGAAACAAGGTCATCTGGCACAGAAAAAGAGAGGGAAAGAGAAAAAGAGAAAAAGAGAAAAAGAGAAGAAAATAGCAGGAGTCAGTAAGGAAAGAGGAAATGAAATAAAAAGAGCGACGACAAAAAGGGACCAGGCCGAAAATAACAAGAAATAAGAGACAGTAAAAGGCACACGGTGGAGAGACCACTAACGACAAGCAAACACGCAAACATGGCCACCAACCAGCGATACATTGTAATGGTACGTCATCACTAGTGGGGGGTTGGTGCAATGGTGCAGCGTTGGGGCGGGGGGAATTGGCTAAGCAAAATTCAATCCGGCACGTATCGCGCCACTCGGTCCGCCTCTTCTCGTTTGCTTTCTTTCCTCGCCGTGTCGACCGTCTCCTGCCCCCCTCCCGCCCCATTGGTTAGTGGCTTGTGGTTTCGTTTGAGCGCCCGTTGTCGGCTGGCCTCTTCTTCCTTCTCGTGCCAGGAGGTCATGAACCTCTCAGCTCCCTGCAGCACCGCCGCATGCCAGGGTACTCCCCCCTCTACCTTCGCGGCTTCCGTCCACTTTAACTTCGGTGCCGTGTATTTCGGCACCGGGATTCCGAGACAACATGGATCGGTTTTCGTAGATCCGTGGTCGGCCCCGAATGCCTTCAGGTCGTCGAGCACGCACTTCGGCCAGTTCTGTTCCTGTCCCCCCCTACGTTGCTTCTCCCCCCCTGCCAGTTCGCCGAACATCAGTCGTTTCGGGAGTCGCCCGTCCGGCTGCCTTGCCAATGCGCCCGCGAACAGTAGGCGCCGTTGTCGGATCGTGGCTTCGACACTCTGGCATTCGACCCTCTTCAGCGTCTGGGCGTAAGAGGGCTGCCGGT